GGGGGGGGGAGTGGAGGTAATTTTACCACTCTAATTTCCAGGGATGTTTGCGTAACCCTTAACTATCCAAGAGTAAATATCTCTCATCCCCCCTGTAAGCCGGCACTTCTGGAGTTGTCGAACATAATTATGTTCAGGTTTAGTTAAAAATGAATTTTGAAACTACTCAAACTGTGACGGAAACTCATGTACAAACTAATCTAAGATGGGATCCAGGATACATCAAGTCTATACCTGGAGCACTCAAGCTAGGAGCAGGGGTAAATTCAGTGCTTTAGGATCCCGATCCGGATCCAAGGGGTAAAATATCAACCGAAAACTACAAAAAAAAAATACTTTTTTACTCCTAAAATTCAAATCTGAACTTTTGAAAAAAAGAGAGATTATAAAAATTTCCTCATTTCTGAATGGTTCATCAAGTTTTAGGATAAAAATAAGCGAAAAAATAAAACAAAAAATTTGAAAACTTTTTTTGTTAAAAAATTTCAGTAAATCTTTAAGAAACGACCTGGATCCGTATCCATTTTTTTCAATGCGGATCCAGGATCCGGATCCGCATCAAATTTAAATGGATCCTAAGCACTGGGTAAATATTATGAAAATTATCGGCGAATTTTTCTTTAAGTTAATGTTTCGAATTTGTCATTAGATTTCTTGAAAAATATTGTTTTATTGCAAATTTCTGACAAAATAATGTATTCTTTTTTATTTTTAGAGATTTTAACTTGGATTATATAGTTAGAAGTATTACTCCAAAATTATCTAATATTTTAAAATGTTAACGTATTTTTCCAATTACCATTGACACTTCCAAGCACATAGATTAAAGAGATCGCTCCAAGTAGATTTAATTGGCAACATGATTATCATTTAGTTATTGGATCTGGTTTGTTTGATCTGTGTTCTCTGCGCAAGTCCTTACTGGAGAGAACAGCCAGGTTAGAAATTTTAAAATCATCTTAATTTTTTTGAATTATTTTAGTTGAGTGTGTTTTACTTGTCCAAAGCCAAACTTTAGATTAGCTTCGACATACACATATATCCAAACAAACGAGAAAAAGTTTCAACATTTTAGTAGATTTTTTCCAAATTGATCCAGATTCAAGGAGCAAAAAAGTTGCGGATCTGCATCATCAAAATCTACAATGATTAATGATCCTTAAAAATTCTCTTAAAATTTCAACTTTACTTTTTTAGTTGGCGAGTGGTATATTTTCGTGTGCATGACAGCATTTTGGGTGACAATAATTCTACTCATCATGTACCTACTCCACGCTATCGGTGATTATTATACAGTTAAAAGCAGAAAACTCTGGAATAGGAAGACGTCCTTTAGACTCAAGTTATAACTTGAACTAGTCCAGTGAATATAAAACCCATCTATTTTGCTGTGTAAACAAACCCATAGAACTTAATTTGTGAATTAAAAAGTAACTAGTGACACTATTTGCATTGTAACAATATCAAATGGACTAATTACTGATATAATGTCGTTTTCCTATTCCACAGTTTTCTAGTTATCTCTGTACATTAGATATTTTTACGAAATCAACCAAATTTTATGAAAGGAAAAATAAAAAGCTCTGGTTATTTCATCCTGCTGATAAGATTTTTGTGCTTTATTGGTGGCACACAAAAAGGAGGGAAAGTCAATATATTATTTTAAATGTATGCCTGGAACTAACCTAACTTATCCATATAGAAAAGTTCCACGTGATCCCGTGGTTGATGCTAGAGTTTGGATTCTATGCTCTCTGGGCGTTCTTCTACTTTACAGCTGCCATAGCCACGGCAGTTCAGGTACTAAGAAATAAGCCACAGCATTTTCCCATCATGCCACATATTAGCTTTTTTTGTCTTCCGGCAACCATGAGCTACAATCGTACGGTCTACCGCCACAGCATTTGAGTTTTTCGACAGTTATTACGTTATGGCTGCCGGGAGATAAAAAAGATAATATGTTTCATGGAAGGGAAAAATGTTATTACTTAAGGCCACTCGTCTAAAAAAGGATACCGGAGTGGGAGTACTTATAGATACATTTACAATTGTCAGTTTATATATCTTAAAAAATTATTGATTTTTTCCCAAAGTCAGAGAAATCAGAAAATCTACTGATTTTATTAGAATTTTAAAAAATATATTCTTCAATTCTGGATTATAGCAATTCTATTAAATAGTTTGGAATAAATGTGAAACTGTTAGTCGCTAATCAGATAAAGATGTATAGGGTACAGTTCTGAATATTCCATTCAACTCTTATAAATAAAAGGTCTCTTAAAATTACGCCTACAGATCGAGTTTTCTAATTTACAAATTCAGTACTTTAGTTTTGACCGCTCTAATTGTCTGGACAAACTTTTCGTTTTAGATTCGGTAGATCTTGTTAAGACGAAGTAACTTTGAAAGAACCGTGCCTTAATTTATCAAAATAACCAACTATATTTTTTTACAGGGTCAACATAGTGCCGCCCTCGCTGCTGCGGGCTTTTTTGGGTTCGCCGCCATGTTTGTTTATGGTGTTGACGCGTTCTTCAAGTTCCGAGGATGGCGAGCTGGTCAGTTGGCGCAGGGTGAACGGAAGGTCACTAGAACTACAGAATCTACTGCTCCTTAAACATTTTACCTGAACACATATAGAGTTTAGTTTAGTTATTATAAATCTTGGGAAAAATAATACTAACTAATCAACAATATAAATTTGAACCTTGAAGCTTTTACAATTCTTCCGTCCAGAATTTGGACTTTTCTTACAGAACTATGTGATATGTTTGATAAATGTATTCTTTTATGCACCCAAAATATTTATTTTGAGTTTTTTGAAAATTTAATATGAATTGCTGATTTTTTTTGTCAGACACCCTTAAATATTTTTTCTGTTCCAATCAAATAATTTTTGAATTAAAACTTCCTGTTCCGCTAAGCTTATCATGTAAAGCATGCAATTCAATATTTTAATTAGATAAAATTTAAATACACTAATTATGTCAAGCATGTTTTATTTTTTGTGGAATAAAGATCTAATTGTGTTATTTTCAGTTGAAAAAGTGAAAATAATTTTTTTAATTTTTAGACCAAATCTAACCGTATTTCCAAGATGTTAAAAGTAGTAAGATTTAAAAATATTAATTAAATTAATTTTCCAGGACTTTCTACGTTAAACGTTTTTGAACTCAGTTATTCAAGAAAAATATTCAATAAACATTGATACTCAAAATTTACATCTTACTTTTCTGTCTACATTATTCATTTGTTTGAGTTTGAAGGAAAAAATCAAATCTGATTTTAAGCTGTAATACTATTTACAGGGTAAGATAAAGGCTCCTCCATATACGTTTTACCTTTAATTGAAGATAATAACGCGAAAAGATATTTTCACAATATTTTCAATTTATTCTCCAGAATGTAATTTGCTTATTTATTGTCATTCAAAATGTTCTAAACACTAAGCAAAAAGTACATGTCTCAGTTTTCACTATCTTCTACATGGGACAATTTAAGGTATTTTTCGACCAACGCAAATCCGCTATACTCCACTTTTGACCTACGCCAAATCCTCGATACTACACACCGACCTACTAACACGTGGTTTTACAGTTTACTTGTGGCCGCAGTGCCCAACCCCCTAACCTGTCATAGCCGCAGCGCTCGGCCCAGAAATTGTCTTAACCTAACCTTACCCTCAAATACTACAAAAATAAACAGCTGGCATAGGTCCGATTATGCAGTAGGTCGGAAAGTTAGCAAGTCAGAAGTTCAGTAGGGGGGATGTTGCGTATAGACGATGTAACATTACCGTTAAGGGACTGACCTGAGTGATGGCATAATTCAAATTTCCCCTCAATTTTTATTGTGGAAATCCAGATTAACAGCGGTGCCTTTTTATATTTGTTTTATCCAAATATTTTATCTACAGTAACGCTTGTACTTGTTGAGAAAGTATAAAGTTCACGTCGTTTTATCTTAAAGGAATATTAGTATGCATTTCCGGCAGTCATAAATAAAAATCTTAATTTGAATTTAAATTAAATGCATTTTTCAAATATGTTCAATCTAAGTAATTTAAGACGGAAAATATGAAAGTCATTCACATCAACTGACGGCACAAAATTCATGCATCCGACGCTTATCAAATTAATGACTTGTATTGTGAATCATACATGCCATTATAAATAAAGGGTAAGAAATTTACGTTAACAGTCGCTTAGTCGCTTCAATATACTCACCTATGCTAACAAATTCATATTTACATAAGAATCTCTAAATTAGAAGCAAAAGTTAGGCTTACATTTAAGATTGTATTACACATGTTGAAAATGCTAATTCAAAACGTGAACAAACCGGATCCAAGTTTGTGTTTACAATGAAAATAACAGTTAAAGTACAATTTTAACGGGCTCCAAAATATTGAGGAAATTCAATTTAAATGATGACATGAGGTGGACGATGTGGTGGCTAGAGATGGGTATCAAGAACAAGGACATTACTTAAATCTGAACTTTTTACACGAATTATGTTTACAACTTTAATTTACAACATTTCCTCAATCATAGATTCCCCCTCTTGGGAAAAATCATCGGCAATTTGATCATCAGTTTCTTCAACGTCTTCGTCTTCTATGTCCTCAATGTCCTTAAAATCATCTACATCATGTATACCCTCCATTGTCTTCGCCTCAACGTCCTCAACATCCTCTACGTCCTCAACATCCGCAACGTCCTCAACATCCTCTACGTCCTCAACGTCCTCTATATCTTTAAAATCTCCTACATCATGTATACCCTCCATCGTCTCCGCCACAGCGTCCTCTATTTCCTCTATGTCTTGAAAATCCTCTACATCATGTGTACCCTCAATTGTCTCCGTCTCAAAACCTGCTCCCTCTACATTATCATCCGCCATGGGAGCTGTGTCCGCCTGATCTGCGATATCCAATCCGTCTGGAACATTCGACACTTCTTTAGATCCATTGTCGGTAGTATTCTGTTGATTTGGGTTGGACTTAGTACTATCCAAAGGTTGATTTTCTCCTGCCTCCCTATTAGATTGCTCCAGGGCTATGTTGGTAGTTTCCAGACTGTTCTCTAGTGTGGAAAGATTCTCCTGGGTTAGACTAGCAACAGCAATAGTTCCTTCAGCAATCTGTAACCATACAAAACTATTCTAACTCTAGATCAAATATAATCGACTAAATATTTTACTGCAGATATGATTGCTCGAATCATTATTGCTAAAACTGCATTTTCTTACAAATCAACGGTAGATATTTCTTTGTTATCTTTAAAAATTAGAAAAGAGTGGTAGGCGATTATATCAACACAATGAAGACGACTTTTTAATAAAGTTTTTATTGTTAACAAGCTTTTTTAGATTACAAGAAGCTTTTTTACTTATCAGCTAATGTAATCTATGTTTCTGTGCATCTATCCTGTTTCAACAGCTGGATAAAAATCAAAACTGAATTCAAATTCGTCTTCATTGTATTGATATATGCGTCGACGACTGTAGTAAACACTAGACTGGTACTTTTTTCTAAGCCTCTATTTCAAGTAATTATACTTGTATGTTTATTATCATTGCTATTGCGGAGATTAACTTTTAGCACTTAGATACTTTATTTTTTTTCCTTAAAAAAATCAATTTTTAAGATAAAACCTAACTGAAGTAGCCAACGTTCGCATGATACAAAAAGTAGAATAATTCTGTGTTCCTTAGTTTTATCAGAATCTTTGCTCTGTGAAAGTGAAGATCTTGACCGGTCATCTCGTTTTTTTGAACCTGTAAATATTTAGATCAGGTGAAACCCTGGTCAAGCCAGTCATGTCATATCAGTTCAAACCAATCAAGTCACATCAAGTACATTTGTTATGAGCCAGGTAAAACCAGATCAGAGTAGCCATGTCAAAAAAAAGTCAAACAGTAAAATCAAAAAAGTTTCAAAGAATTAAAAATACTGTCAAAAAAGTCCGTCTGGAAAAAGGCCAATCAAGTCTGGTCCAAAAAAATGACACCCGTCAGACCAGGCAAGTCAATCAGAGTTGAACCAGGTTTAACAGTTAAAACCAGCTCCAACCAGTCCATTTTTACTTGCGCTGAATATATTCCCAAATTCATTCATATTCTTAAACCACTCTGAATAAAATCCTAAAATAAAAACCTGATCTTCTAGGACTAAGTTTTCGCAACTTCACTCCAAAGGTATCACACTCTCCCACACTATCAACCTAAAATCAGAAAATTTCAAATCAAATCAAATCATAAGTTGTAGGGATGGCCAAAGGCTCCAGTTGTGGATCGGAGTTTCAAGTATCCTGTTATCAATAGTTTTATAATAAATGTTTTGGTATGCTAAGGGGTTAAATTATAATACTTGAAAACAAACCCAGCAACCTATAAGCAAATCTTTATTGAAATAGTTGAGAAATTTCAGTATAATAAGTGGAAACTGGATTTTTTTCTTCCAATATATTTTTATTTTAAGTATGCATTATGTATTAGAAAAAAACATCAAAATATTTGATATTTGTTAAAAGAATAAAAATGTATATTTTCTTTTTTTTAAATTACCTCGTAATAATAGTTGAAATTCACTTTCATGGGACCTCTAGGACGCCTAAAAAAATTATCAAAAATAACAAATTACTGAAAACTCTTATTAGGAAAGCTTTTGTTGCACACTGATTCGAAGAAAGGCAGAAAATTGAAAAAAATACGACAGCCGGGCCACGACATTATTCTTCATATTTAGTGTCGTTGTTATTTCAAGTGAACTTCCACTTAAGGCATGACCGATTCACAATTCACAACGGCGCTCTTTAATCTTTTTTAGATCAAAAATGTGAAAGATATTCTAGTTTTTATGACTTAGAATTGTTTGACAATTTTCTACATTTTTTTAGAAGCAGAAAAGTCATTTTATAGAGAAGGCAAAATTTAAAAAAAAAAATTAACATTTAAAGTGAAGATGATTAATATCTCATGGATTTGTGATCTGACAAAGCTTCGAGGTGAATTTGATTTGCTTTTTTTAATAAATGAAGATTCCCTTTGATGCAGGGGAAATTAGTTCTAAAACTTACACTAGGCCCATCTGCAAAGAGTTCTTTTTCCAGAGTATATATATATCTTTAAATCCAATAAGAGTAGAACTAAAGTACACTATATATTTATGAAAATGGCTAAAACTACATATTGAAAAAATAAATGTCAATTTTAAACTAATAATAAGGTGTGAGAATTAGTTTTTGATTCTTCTGGATTTCATTTTCGAACATATCCCTATTTTAAAACAATTAGCGGATTTTAGCTCATGTCGCGTTTTCGGAACATATCCTGGTTTTGAGACAATTACCGGAATTCCTAACAATATCAATTTTTAAGAATTTACGCACAAGATTTTTTGATAGGGTAGAATAGAAACAAAATAGAAAATAATAAAACAAACTGTTCTTTTATAAATTTAAAATCATTACAGCATTGAGAAATCAAAATATTATTATCATTTGTTCTTACATTTTAGGGCTTGATCGCGACCCATTAAAATTCTATCTGATGTTTCTGTCTCGAGAAATTGATATAAAACTGTGGCAAATTTATACAAAAATTCATATGTATGCAGCTGAACTCTCACCAATGAGAGTGCAGTATACTGGTCACATGTCTCTGTCTGTATCACGTGACCAGTATACTACACTACCATTGGTGGGAGTTCTGATATTATAAATAATAATATCAATTATATCTATTAAAAATTAAAATCAAAATTATAAATAATAATTGGAGAAAACCTAAGTTACAATTAGGTTTCTCTGGGATATCTTCGCTTTCAGATTGGTTGCATATTTGCTGAATATGATCTGTTTAAACCTACCACTTCTATACAAAATTGTATATACATATGAATTTTTTTATAAATTTGGCACAGTTTTATATCAATTTTTTGAGACAGGAACATCAGATGTAACTTTCATGGGTCGCGATCATAAGCTAAAGTGATTAGCTTTCAGCCTATACCCCCTTTTTTTTCCTTGACAGTCCCTTTAATAAAATGTTGGTTATAGGTTTTACCATCGACATTTACTCTGCATATGAACAGGCATCCCAAAAACCCAGTGTTAGAAATGGACCAAGTATTAGTTTTGGAACTGATGTCCCCTGTAATGTGTATGCATTATTATTACTTTGAAGGTCGTCTATCTCGATCTTGTCTGTCTCTTTCAAGTTCACGATCTCTCATGTTCTTCTGTTAACGAACCCAATTGTTAAATGCACATGCGTGAAAAAGAAATAGAAGAAAATGTTTAACTCATAATTGGGACAAACTACGAAAAAAACTGAATTAAAAATGCAATTCCTACAAAAAATCGTTTCATATTCTTAGTAGCTACTTGAAAAATTACTTACAATGGATAATATATAACAATTATCAATTTCATGAGAGGGTTTAATGTAAAATTTTGATTATCTAGCATAGGTTTTCCTTTTGGGTCTCTGGTATATTAGCATATTCCTCTGGAGTACAGAACATCCTGGTCACTCCCTTTCGTCGACATCTGTCCTTGTGTTCTTTTCTGAAATGTTGAATTTGAGATTATTTAAAGAACATTAACAACAGCTTGTAACTACAACTGTAAATATTCTAAAATGTTTAGTCGCCCAAATCTAGGGGATATTAGTTCCAAACCTAACACTCGGTCCATTTCTAACATTCAGTGTTAGAAATGGGCCAAATCTGCAAAGTTATGTTTTTCAAGTGTATATATCTTTAAATCCAAGACGAGTAGAATAAAATTACACCATATATATTTATAAAAATCGCTAAAATTATATATTGAAACAATAAATGTCAATTTGAATAAAATAAGGCGTGAAAAATAGTTTTTGATGATTCTTGATCCCATTTTCGAACATATCCCTATTTTAAAACAACTAGCCTTAGAGGGCGCTTCGCGTCCATCTTCTAAATTAATTGTGAACATGTTCTCTTTGTGTACATCGTGAAACAAAACAAAAATAATTCGTGGATTTTCACAAAAAAATTCGTGGATTTTTAAAATTTTAAAAAATTTAATGAAGATCGAATTTTGATGGAGACAAATATTTAAAATTTTGATCATTCATAAACCTTCCCTGGGGTCCCTAGATGTCCCACAAAAAATTTGGGCCCGATCGGTTCAGCCGTTTTGACGTTTATTGGATACAAACAAACAGACAAACAGACAAACAGACAAACAAACAGACAGACAAGCCAAATTTTTATATAGATTACCGGATTTCAGCTCATGTCGCGTTTTTGGAACATATCCTGGTTTTAAGACAATCACCCGAATTCGTATCAATATCAATTTTTAAGCATTTACGCACTTACTTAACAAAACAAGATTTTTTGATAAGGTAGAATAGAAACAAAATAGAAAATAAAAACAAACTGTTCTTTTATAATTTAAAAATCATTACAGCATTGAGAAATCAAAATATTAATATAATTTGTTCTTACAATATAGATTTCACTAGAAATGCGGGAAACTATTTGTTTAAAATGCTTGAAAATAAATCATCGATATTCTCTAATTTAACAGATAAAATATAGAAACTTAGATTAGTCTTCATAACAAAATTTTTGTTTTCAGTGATTTATTTTGTAAGTCATGAAAGTAAGTTTTGGTTTGAATTGTGGATTATACTCAAACAGGAAAGTGGGTTTTGTCTCGAAAACGCAACAGTTTCAAATTCAGGATATGTTCGAAAATGGAAAACGTGACATTGTCTTGAAAACGGTCAAGAGATGTAATATAAAAAGAACTCCTATTATAATTTTGATTTTTGAGAAAAAGTTTTAAAACGTTTAATAAAATGTTGGTTACTGTTTTTATCATCGTCTTTTATTTTGGATCCCAAAATCCCGGTCTTTCAATTTGCGCCAGTATCTTATAATTTAGAAATGGGCCAAGTGTTAGTTTAGGAACTGATGTCCCCTGAAATCTTAGAGATCTAAAAAACTGAAGAAAGAAAGAAAATTCTTGTGAAAAAAACTCACGTTTCTAGATGCGCTTCCACTCCATCAAGCTGTATGAATTCTTTCCAGCAAAGAAGACATGGGAACTTACATTTTCCAGGCGTCTTTCCCTAAATAGCGTAATATAAGATCTGTAAAGGTCCAGGACACAATGATATCAAATGGGACACTGTTAAAATCCCCCCTAGTGTTTAAACATAACTTAGAATTGTCGTAGGAGGCTGATTTTTTGCTTGCAAACTCAGAATTATGTATATTACATGCATTTTTTGGTTTTGAAGTAATCTGAGCAAAAGTGCGCGCGCGCGCTTTTTGTGAAAAAATTTTTCCTGACACTCTTGAAACAAATATGCGCTAAAAAAATTCACCTCCAAAGGCTTAACTGTCCGCGCTTGAATACTTATGTGCTAAGTTTGGCCTAAGTTAGAATAACAGTTGAATGAGATACATCAAACTATAGCAAAATTGGCACGAGGAATTCATTTCCGAGGTCAAAATAGACATTGGAGCATTCTGACCGGCGCGCTAGTAGCCGGCAGTTACATTATGGGTCATCTTCCCACATATTTACATGTTGTATGTCGATTTATAGATTATTGGGCACGAAGAATTCATTTATGAGGTCAAATTTAATATTGGAGCATTCTGACTGGCGCGCTAGTAGCCAATTATTACATTATGGGTGATCTTAGTACATTTTTTACATGTTTTATGTCGATTTATAGGTAATTTGGCACGAGGCATTAATTTCTGAGGTCAAAATAAAGATTCGAGCATTCTGACCGGCGCGCTAGTAGCCGGCAGTTACATTATGGGTCATCTTCCCACATATTTACATGTTATATGTCGATTTATAGGTAACTTGGCACGAGAAATTCATTTCCAAGGTCAAATTTAATATTGGAGCATTCTGGCCGGCGCGCTGGTAACCAGCAGTTCCATTATGGGTCATCTTCCCACATATTTTACATGTTGTATGTCGATTTATAGGTAATTGGGCATAAGGATCCATTTCTTAGTAAAAAATTTTGTAAGACTACTCTGATCGACGTGCTAGCTGCCAGCAGTCACCTTCTGGGTCATCCTGTCATATGTTTTGCTTGTAGTATGCAAAGCAAGCAGTTCAAACAATTACTTAATCTAAATTAATGACAAGCAAAATACTGCTCTCATAGCTGACAAAGGTTAGCTCAAAGTTGAACTATACGACATAAAACGCAATATATAAGACACCAACTATAAGGGCGGCACGTTGGAGTTAATCTCTAATTATGATTTGTACCTAATTTAGAAATTCGGACATTGTAACTCAACAATCATGTACCCTACGGCCTACAATATCAGTCTTGTAGTGTCAACTATCATTTAATTAATTTGATTTATTTACCTGAACAGGTATATCATGAACACAGAGTCTTGATTCTACTATGCTGGGCAGATCAACCTCGAATGTTAAGCAAGGAATCGAATTCTTCTTTGTCAACTTCATTTTCAGTCCTTTTACACTGGGAGATTTCAACGAGGTTAGAGTCTAAAATAATGTTAGTTTTTTTTTAAACTGATTCCTAGGATAATTTCTTTTTTAAGTGTTAGTTTAAGTGACTGTGATGGTAATTTCAAGTGACCTGACACGCAATTAGATAGCAATTCCCGATTCACTACTGTACACTTAAAGCTTTGTCTGAATATATGCATCTAATTCATACTTATATATGAATGAGTATGAATTAGATACCTATGTTTTTTTATTTTAAAACTAATAATTTTCAAATGAAGCCTCTTCACAGCAAAAGTGACTTGCGCATTCCTACTACAAGAAAACATATAAAAATTAACTTTTAAAACCTAAAAAAACGAGAATATCTGAATACGGAATAGATATAGGTTGTAAATCGTACATTGCCAGCTTTACATGGAGTCACTAGATATTACGCTAACAGTCCCTTAAAATACCCCCCGATGGCCATGTCCGATTTGAACGGTATAGCCTTGAAACCTTAATCTGATCAATAATGTGAAAGATATTGTAATTTGTCCAGGATTTTAAGTGTTTTATCGTCTTCGTGCAGTAGAAACTTCCATCGAAAATAATCTTTGATAAATAATTTATACTTTATTAGATAAAGCTTTTGAATGTATTATTGCCCATTGCTGCAATCTTTGTATAGAGCTGTTGAACAAATCTTTGATCTCTTTTTCACAATCACATATTTTCTGAAGAAGATAATGAAATGAAGGAAAATACTTACCGACATGGTTATCTTGGTTATAACGGGTTTGTTTGGTTTATCCGAATTCTTTTCCCCTCCTGAAATATAACAAAATTAGTAAATTCATGTTAGGGTAGAGAAAGGGAAATGAGGATCAGATTTGGCAGGATATAATAATTTTAAATTAATTGAAACTTTCGTGAATTAAAATATGCAAAATGTAGATTTTCTGAAGTGTCTTGGATTATTGAAATTTTCATTGAGGGTTTAAGTGTCCCAGAATAAAATGTGAAGAAACTGAAATATTGGCTTGAGGAATTGATAAAAATATTTACAAAATCTGAAAGATTCCTCGCGTTCCAAGTTATTCTGGGAAATGCTGAACTCATCCGTACAACGTTCTGCACAATTGAGCTCAATATGACAAGTGACTCAGATGTTTATTGGGCCGATAGCTCATCGTAATATGAAGGGGATGATAAATAAGTGCAAAAGGAATTATGATAAAGATGATTAAAAATAGTTTTCTATCCGGGGAAAGGTGTGATGGGTCTGTAGATCTGAAGATTAACCCAGGGTTGGAAGATTTTAGCTCCGTCAACCTGGTTTATCTGATTCCTCTTGGTGTACGCCAGACCCATCTTTTCCATCATCTCCATCAGCAGCAGTTCCATCTACTCCAACTCCAACTCCAGCTCCTTCTCCGCTCTCACCGTTCTTGGAGTCATCATTCTCCACTGCTTCCTCTTGCTCCATCCCATTAGCAACGACCCCTTCTACGTCTTCTTCAATCCCATTCTCAGTTTCCTGCTATATGTATCAGCTTCATTAAAATAAGCTCCAGCCTTGAATGGCTCCGACTAAGATTTGCTTATGCTATATTTTTGGCAAATATTTCTCAATTCATACTTTTTTCGAGGTTAACTTGCAGAAAGATAAATGTTAAATTCAAAGTCTCTAAAATGCACTTCGGCGGGGTGCAGATTTCAGAGTTGATGATTAAGCATTGAGGGAATACTTAATGCTTAAACCGTAAGAACTCAGAGAAGTTTCCTTTCCAACAAAAGTGGTTTTTTATTGCCTACCTGTGGCTTACCCCCGACCTCTCCTACATGAACTGAAGGTTCCACAGGATCACTGGCTTCCGTCCCATCTCCTTCATGTTCGTAGTCTAATTCTTCCGTCATATTGTCCGACATTTCGGTTTCTGCCATTTTCTTTCTGGAATACTGATAATTTCACAGCCAAGAGTATTTGGAAAGTATTTTTAAAAGTTCTTTAAAACTCTTATTAATAATATCACAAACAGTAACAGGTAGTGTTGGCGCAGTAAGGTACATAACAGATAATGTTTTTGTATAGAAGCAGAAAATAATTCAATATTTCTTTACTTTAAATTTTAAATATTTAGATTCATACTAATTTACATTGGACGTAACTTGTGCACATCTAAATCAAGTTTTAATTTACTTCTAATTAAGAGTGAGAAGCTGAGTAGTAGTCAGGAGATGGTCAACATTTATCTGGACGAAATCAAGGACGAAAATATTTGTCTCAAGGACGAATTGGAGTCTCGTCAACTGCAGTTGGACGAAGCTAGAGCTGCTCGATCAGTGGACGATTCTAGACTAGAGGAAGTTTATGAAATAGATAGATCAGGATCTAAAAAGCGTGCATTGAAAGAAAAACAACTGTCTCCAGTTAATGAACTTAAACCCCCAGGTACTTCAGATACCCTGACCCCTATGGATAGGAAAAGACGACGTCTCAACTCCGCCACCCCTCAAGTTAGTGAGGTTTTCACTCCTCCCACGGATTCTGAGAGTGTGGACAGCCCTCACATTTAGACAAATCCAAAAAGAGTAGACTAAAACACTAGTTTTTAGATGTTCTGGGCAGAAAGAACTGTAGAGCTAGATCATGAGTAACTATCATGATATGAAGGATTTCATTGTCCACAATATTCGCAATACTTCTCTGAAAATATCAAGATTAAAAAAATAAATTTTCACAGAAAATTATATTTTTACCTCCGGGACTAGCTGTTCACTGCAGAGAAATTGGTTTAATCGTTTAAGATCCACACGGACAGTAGCACTGTCAACTCCTGCTCCCTAGACATGTTGTCAATAGTGAGAAAAAAAACGGGAGATTTAGAGAAAAGAAAAGGGGGATGAGATGAGGGGGGATATTTTCTCTTAGTCCCCCCCCCCCCCCGGAAGTACTTAAGAGAGGGCAATATGTAGAATTCCAGGAAAATATGTTTAACTGAGATTATGGGAAATATAAAAAGTACAACCATAAGTAAATATAATAAAAAGTAACAACTATAAGTAAATATATTTACAAGTATTTACTAGTATACTAGTTCTCACCTCTAACATTATCCAAGGCATCTGATTAGACCTAGATACAGGAATTCTTAGATTTTTGAAGTGACTAGCAACTACAACCTCATCAGATTCGACCTATGAAAAGGAATTTTACTTTTATAGAAAAACTTTGTCAATGAATTTTAATTAGACTTCTGTAAAACAGTTATTGTCAAACGTTCGTTATAAGATTGGCCAAGCAGCTAACAGAATGTGATGTTGAAATAAAAGATTTGGCCAAATCAAATACAGAATTTGATGTTGAAATAAAAGATTTGGCCAAATCAAATACAGAGTGTTATATTGAAATAAAATATTTGGCAAAATTAAATACAGAATGTGATGTTGAAATAAAAGATTTGGCCAAGCAGATACAGCAATTGAAATAAAAAAGTTGGCCTAGCAGATATCAAAAGCAAAAACTCTGATATGATCTGACCTTAAGTGAAAGGGAACCATCCCTTCTCCCAGCGATCGCTACTGTAGATCCCAAAATTCTATATTTCTCGATCATTCTCTTCATAACCTAAAAATAAAAGCCTCTAAAAATGTTGTATAATGTTTATGTCGTAAAATAATACAAATCTATTATTTACTACCTTTAGATCAGGTAGGCATAGAGAGACATGAACTGGTGGAAGAATTGGAGCTTCATACTCACTCCAACATCGTCGAGGTACCACCTAGATAAAAAAATGTTTCCCAAAATTAAATAGAATAAAAGATACATGGAATGCACTTGAACGTTAGATAAAGGGGGGGGGGGGCACAAAACGTAATACTCTTAGGAAAATTTAAACAGTGTTTAAACATAACTTAGAATTGTCGTAGGAGGCTGATTTTTTGCTTGCAAACTCAGAATTATGTATATTACATGCATTTTTTGGTTTTGAAGTAATCTGAGCAAAAGTGCGCGCGCGCGCTTTTTGTGAAAAAATTTTTCCTGACACTCTTGAAACAAATATGCGCTAAAAAAATTCACCTCCAAAGGCTTAACTGTCCGCGCTTGAATACTTATGTGCTAAGTTTGGCCTAAGTTAGAATAACAGTTGAATGAGATACATCAAACTATAGCAAAATTGGCACGAGGAATTCATTTCCGAGGTCAAAATAGACATTGGAGCATTCTGACCGGCGCGCTAGTAGCCGGCCAT